ACGATTTGACCCAGAAATCGCTAAGACACAACCACCCTAGGGCATGTCTAGTCGGGATGCTTCGGATATGAGTAACCAGAGTGTTGCTATAGATATCGGCGCAGAGAGCGCTGCACAATTGCAGTCATTGATATCCAGCGATTAAAGCACATAAATCAACAAATAAAAGGCAAACAAACAAAAGTGAATCAACAATCACAATCCACAAAGGAGTATAAAGGTAGAAAATGGCGTTCAAAACGCAATGCATGAATGGCAAAGAAAATGAAAATGAATGAATGTATTGCCAAGGCGATAAATACACTCGTGAATGAAATGCCGAAGATATCAAAAGGAATGTTTGAACTCTCTGAAAAATGACAAAAAAGATAAAGACTAGTTTTGAGCAGAAAATCAAGGAGTGTGTGCACAAAACAATGTCTCTCGAAATAAAGTTAAGAAAGAATTAAATAAAGACATTCAAAATGATCTGAAATGAAAAAAAATATTAGAAATTATTCAAGCTTGAAAATAAAACAGTTAAGTTCCGAACACAAAATGGAAATAGATCCAACAACCATCCCTCACCACAATTTTCTGGAGAGAGTCATTAGAAATCTAACAGAAAGAGCGTTGGAAAAAAAGTACTCGAAGATATGACACAAAACGGATTCAGACAAAAATGTGTTTGTTACGTTGATTTCAGTAAAGTCTATGACAAAATCGATAAACACTTATTATGGAACAAAACAGAAAATATCGGAATTAGAGGAAACATGTTAAACGCATTTAAATTTGGATTAGAGCATGGATGTCTCCTGTCTACGACTGCTTTCAACAATAACATAAATGACTTATTTATAAGTGAAAAACATTGAGATATATATATGGTGCTTATCGTTGAAAATTAAATTAAACTTCAATCGCTTATAAATGAGTTTGCCAATTGGTGTATTGAGAATAATGTGTGTAAACATTGACAAAACTTAAAGTCATGCATTTTCGTAACCAATATATCCAGAAAACAGAGTATAATTTCACCTTAAAATATTAACGATATAGACTGTGTAGCGTAATATTAATATCTCAGATTGATGCTTAATGGAATTTTAGTTTACGCCAAAACAGCAAAATATTTTGCGCAATCAGCTACTTGGCTCTCGGTCTAATCATCTTAAAATTCAAACTCTTAGGTGGAATGCAGCCTTAACTAAATTATACGACAGTATTGTGTGGCAAGTGATCAGTTATTGAGCAGTAATATGGGATACCGAGAATACTCAGCGATTAACGCAGTTCACCATCGTGCCTGCAGATTCTTCCTTGGTGTAGACATATACTCCGAACGACGCAGTTACAGGCGACATTGGATGGTTCCCCGTTGGATAAAACAATGGCGATCTGCATTCGGACGTTGGTTTAGCCATAGTTATTACTTAATAATCATACATTTAGACTGTCGAATAGTATACGAAACAAAGTGAAAAAAATTGCTGCCATGAAATAGATACTATTAAAAAAGTGTCTCGATAAATCTTGAAATCTCAGGCTGAACGATCAAATATTATGAACTCGTTGCAAGCCAAATTATTGCTGGATTTCAAAAAATGATTGGTTAATGATTGAGAATGAACTGCTGGTGTAAGTGGACGACCCCTTCAAATCCCCCTTCTGGCAACCCCCCCCCCCTGATGTATCTTTTGGTTAGGGGCCGCGCCAAAAAAGTGGTCACTTTTTTATCAACATTTCTCAAACGAAAACATGTGTGTGGTGCCCAAAAAGGATATTTTTTCACTATTTGAGGCCTACAAGAAAGGGGGGGGGTCAAAAGTGCGTTGTTTCGCGTATATATAAGGTAAAGAGTTAAACACATTGTCCTGGACGCCTAAATGTCGTAGCAAATTGGTGAAATATGTCTCTGATCGTACCTCATGCTTTAACATTACTCTATCAAAAGAGACCTAACTTTGTAGACATCCACTAGAAGATGTTTCATGCTAAATATCTTATCTATAGTGCTTTTGGATTGTCACAAGAATACTTTTTTAGGTTTTTACTATATACATATAAGGAATTCAATGACCTCCTGGGGTGCGGTCAATTTTGACCCAAGGGATTTTATTTGAACAAACTTGGTCGCCATCTATTTGAAGATGTTTCATGCCTTATATCTAAGCTCTACCTCTTTTTCATGTTCACAGGAAGATTTTTTTAAAGTTTTTACCTCAACATATAAGGAAAATCAATAACCCCTGGTGCAGGGCAAAATTGAACCCTAGGACTTTTATTTGAACAAACTTGGTACACATGCACTAGAAGATGTTTCATATCAAATACATGTATCTAAGCTCTAGCTCTTTCGGTTTTTTACAAGAAGACTTTTTAGATTTTTGTTAAGAATCTTTCGGTTACCATGGCAAACAGAGTTCTTCATGGAATTTACTTCTTTGAACAACTTTGGTAGAGCTTCATGCAAGAAACATCTCTGCAAAGTTTCAACAAATTTGGTCATATGGTTTAGGAGGAGAAGTTGTTTAAAGAAATTGGTAACGCACGCAGACAAGAACGCACGCACGGACGGACTATAGATGACGGACAATGGGCCATCACAAAAGCTCACCTTGAGGACATTGTCCTCAGGTGAGCTTAAAATATAACTCATTACACTTGCTTATATATAACTCATTACCACCTATTTTGTTGCTATTTTTTTCTTTTGACAATGAACCAGTCAATCATTACCCCGGTCCCTCTTCCCGCAGACTAGCAGAGTAAAGGCCCCGGCTTGCGATGACAATGCCCGATAAATGTCCCCGCATGCTCCAACTATTTGGCACCAAAAGCAAAACCAGTGAATTGATATTGCATGGCGGGAACTGATGGCTGTAATCCCTCAACGCCACGGGGTTAGTGGGTCAGTGGACTAATACATACAGACAGATAGGACGACAGATAAAAGTTTATTTCCCCTGATATTCCCACACTTCCGTGGACATGGTGGACAGGGTTACAATTAGTTTTGGCTTTCATAGCTTTATATGTCGCTTTTATCTTTTACGTTGTGCGACAGTAAACAGGTCTAGCAGTACGATAAAACCTGTTATCTTAAGTCTTTTTAGCTAAGTTACAATGGACTATGCGTACATAACAGAATAATAGAACTTTACAGCATTATATAAGAAATAATGTTGATAGCAAGTAATAAAAAAAAATCTTAAATTTAATAAATCCAACAGATTAGCCTATCTATGTAAGTATTCATTCAAATAAAGTATTGTTTATGTAAGTTGAGATTAAATCTCTTTGTACAGAATTCATCAAAATGAAGTATGTACAATGTATCTGTCGAAGGAACGGTTCATTTGAAGGCTAAATAACCATTTTAATGTTAATGAAGCCAATGCTGGGGGAATTCACGGTAGCATGCAATGAGCACTGCAACCGATGAACAGGCTTAAATGATGTTATATTTTCGATCCTTTAAGATTTGTACAGCACGGGCATTTTTTGTTTGGGGATAATTTTTGATGGTTTTTTTTAAATTTTTTTCATTTTAGATTTGGAAATTTTTTGTTTTTTTTTTTTGGGGTTTTTCAACTTTGGGGGGTACCAAAATATTCTTCTTTAATTTCGCTATAATCAAACCCCTTTATGTGCCTGGTTTTTTTAAAACTGTCTTTTTACGTCTTTCTGTTAAATGGGGGACTTCATTTTAAACCCCAGTCCCCTTTCAAAAAAATTCCCTTTTTTTTGGGTTTCCCCCCCAAATTTTTTTTTTCGTTTGGGTACACAAAATTCTTTTACTTTTTGGGGCCATACCCCCTTTTTCATGGAATGACCCCTACCCCTTTTCACATTGGGAAAGGTTTCCCTTTATAACCGAAGTATTTAAAAAAACTGCGGATGTTTCTTTAAATTTTAAAATTCCCCCATTTTGTGTTTAAAATAGTTGAATTCTGCTTAAGTCGGTGCAAAGGGGCGTGGACGGTAACTTGCACTTTAATTAAACCGAACATTTGCGCATTTCATAGATTTTAAATTTATTGAAGCTGATGCGAGACAGGCCCTTAATAAAGTGTGAGGGCACATCTGTTACAAGCACATAACTAAAATACCCGAACCAACTATTAAATCAATTTAAACATTCTCTGTCGAGTTTCAAGATATGCTTTTACATGTATATGATTGGGAATAATAACTTATATTGCAAAGCCTTTTTTGTTATAATCTAAAACAAAATCAAATTCATTATATTTTCGGACAATAGCAAAATCTAAAAAGGGCGCAGCTGGCATCAATCAATATAGATAGGCCTGATGTATTATGCAACAAAGAGGAAAATACGCAATGCCATAGCATAAATATAACAATAACAACAACAACTAATATCCGCTACATTAAATCTTTATTATGCATGATAAAGAAACAAAAAAAGAGATGAGATTTCTTCAAGTGTGATTCAGACTATTTATATTTACAAAATATAAAAAGTAATCTGTTGAAATAAAATACATGTATTTAAACAAAGAGAATTTTTATGAGATAAACGAATTTTGTCATTTCAAAAGATCAAGGAAAACTTTGTCATGACTTTATGTTATTGTATCAACATGTACACATATATACATACACATACATACACATATAAATATAGTTATTATGTTCATATTTTCGACAAAGAAATGTTTTGTTTTGTTTGAACAATCAGTCCATATTTAGTTTCCGGAAGAGAGGCCTCGGGATGGTTTTTCTCCGTGGATTTTCTTTTTTCTATGTCCACGAAATATTTACCACAAGACAGTTCCAACATATATTTCCTGAATTCTTCTTTCTGCATGTCTTTGAATATTTTGTTCTGTAACATGGGAAACATGTATCATGTTAATTTGATAATAAAGTTTTTGAAATCCAGTAAGTGATTTTGAGAAAAAGAGATCTTTCATGTGCAATGAAAACAACAATAAATAAATAAATAAATAAATAAATAAATAAAAAGCAAACAAAAACCAAAAAAAAAAACAACAACAAAAAACAGCAAAATCTAAATATTCCAGATTCATTTTTCAAAAGTCTGTTCATGAGAGGTAATGGAAGGGGCGACAACTCTCAATATAGATATGCCTGATGTATTATGCAACAAAGAGGAACAAAGCACCCTTGCGCTGGCTTCAGCGTTATTACATCCTCAACATTTAGAGTATTGGAATCGATGATCTTGAATGATCACTAAAAACTGAAATGAAAAACGGGGTGTCAATAAATTGAGATTTAAAAACATGCTATATTTAATATTTAAAGGCCAAATATGCATCAGAAATGCTATCAATTTTGTTTTTCAAAAACTTTATTTTTGGTATCTTGTTACATACTTACTAGCTATATTCATGAACTATCTTCTGCTACTTTTACTCTTTTGGCAATAAGGGAAATTATAATGCAACAGTAATTTGTATGGAAGTCAAAATACTTATTTGTTTACATTTTGCTTCATTTACAACATATAACTACCAGGACTACTTTCCTCAATAATATATAACATATGACATGCTATAAATCCATTATTTAACACTAACACATATTTGACATTTAGATTGTAAATAATTAAAACAAGAGCATCGCATAGGCGTGGAAATATACGCCCGAATGCAAATTTGTTTGAAGTAAAACAAAATTAAAATTAAATTTTTATCAAAAATAATTTTTAAACAGAGAGGATACATGTATTTATAACATTTGTCCAAAACATGTTTTATTTCATTCATCAATATTAAGATCTATATTGATACATGCCAAAGAGCTACGCTCTTGTCACACGAATACTTATTGACATTATAGATGCTGCAGCTTTCCACTGTAGTGTACATACTCCAGACATGTAACTCTGTGTTTGTTTACAGACATGTAACTCTGTGTTTGTTTACCCTCGTCACCATATGAGCGTGCATAGACATGTCGAATGGTGAAGCAATTATCACTAGTATATTATACGAAAACAACAATAATTTTGGTTTTCAAATGATAAAAAATCAAAGAAACATACAAATTGTATTATACCAGAAATTCAAAAGCACTATATTATGCCTAAAAATAATAATAATAAAACAAAATGCTAAACTAGTAAATAATTTTCTTCTTTTTTATTACCCCTATTTATATTCATAACATAACACTCACGCAAAACTGATAATTCTACTTTTACTAAGTAATGATACATGCTAAAATCTATGTTATGCATGTTGTATGTTGGGAGAAAGGCTTTTAAAACATGCATACTATATAAGTTTGTGTACATGTAAACTATGCCAGACATACCCATCTCCCAACAAACCCACTGGACACATCCATTTTATAATATCAGTGAAATGACTTGGCATAATTGCATGATTCTTCTATGTAATGATACATGTGATCTGGGATTTGTAACTTTACATGCCAAATAACTGTGATCTGGGATTTGTAACTTTACATGCCAAATAACTGTGATCTGGGATTTGTAACTTTACATGCCAAATAACTGTGATCTGGGATTTGTAACTTTACATTAGAAAACATATATGAAAATAAGTTTTTTTCTATGTGACCCCTGGGGCAGGACCAATATTGACCCAAAGAGCATGATTTACATAAATTCTGTAGATGTCAACAAGGGATGCTTCATACAAAATATCTAAGCTTAACATAAATATATAATATTTTTGGGCATATGATATTGTGTTGTAATTACCTTCTTTGATTTAAAGCTTTTAAAATTCAACAATTAAAAAATGCAGTGGGCTAAACTTATTATATTGGTTTTTCTTCCTATGAACATATCAGTCTTTCAATTAGATAGAATCTGCCCTAAATATAGCAAAACAGTATTCATATCCAAAGTTTTGATAAATTACCTTACAAAAATGACCAGGCCCATAAAAATGAATTTCTGAGGCAGAATGGGCCTTTAAAATCATATACATGTATATTTATGATATATTCCTTTAACAAAAAGAATATATATAAAAGCAAATTAAGTGTTTAATTCTAAAGAATATTTTACCAATGATTTCCTGTTTAGTTCCGGCTGACGGACCATTATAATCGTCGGGTAAATATTCATCAGGGAACACTTCCATACCAAGTTCCTCGTAAATCTTCACCAAACTTTTACCATGTGAGTGCATCTTCAAACATAAATATGGTGAATCGACACTAGTGTCAAAAATGCTTTCTTAAAACAATGAAGTTTATGGTCTTCTAGAACCGAATGCTATTTTGACTTTGCCACCAGAAAAGACCAGTCTGACCATGCAGGGTCTTTACTGCTGGTAATCTAATTTTTGTATCAGAAATTGTAAATCACTTAATCGTTTGATGAACGGTTCTATATTCAAATCAGGAAAAGAAAAATACACAAATTCAATAGGCAAAGGGTTAAAGCAGCACGCCTCCAGATTCATGTAAATTTTCATGAAATTTTGGAAAGTATTTAAAAGTAAAATATTGTGAGGTGAACAAATAAAGTAATTTACATAAAGCAATTGGCACTTACAATCCAAGAATATTATCAAAAAAGTTGTCCTTACTGTGTTAGTAACGCAGTAGAAATAAGGTGATAAAATACTGCATATCAGTCTTAAACCGCACTTAACATGTAAAATAAAACTTGGATCTTCAATATTGTTACCTTCCTTAAAAGTTAAGCACATTTTTCACAATATTGATTTTCTTGAAATAGTTTGGCTCATCTGGAGGAATACAGCTTTAATCCTTTGACTACTTTTGAATATATTAAAATCTAGTTAAATTAGCCGGAAAATATCTAGACAGATATTACCGGCAACTCAAAATCAACATTTGGATATCATTTCATTACCAGCAAAATTTCATAAATGGACTTGACCAGCTTCTATATTTGAAACTGTCCATTGTCAATATTGGGATTATCATGATTAAAATGAAATACACGTCGTGTGTATGCAGGACTATATAGTATCCTTTGCAAGAGAGATATACGAAAATGCAGTCTTATATTCAACTTAAACTGTTTTGGCAATAAATAATTTTAGCAATCTTACCCTGTCCTTAAATTTTTGGCTCATAAAAGGTAATAAGATGGCAAACAGAGCATCAACGAAAGCAGGCATCTTGTACATATGGAATGCCTTAAACCTCATTGGTAACGATTTCTATACAAATAAAAAGTATTGTACATGCTAATAAATCCTTGTTATGAAAAGATTTAACAGTTCAAATATTACTCCTATACTCTAAGAAGAAAGTCTTTGTAGAGTCAGTAAGTAAAAAGTTCAAGAATGATTATAGATGTTTACCTATCAATTTAACAGTTATTGATCACTGTTGTTTTATAAATTGAATTTTCAACATTTCAGGCTGACGGAAATGGAAATACAATTCTTTTCTATATTGCCAACTTATTGTGTATTTTATTTCATTTATCGTTTAAATAAAAAGTTTGTTTGTTTGTTGTTTTTTTTTTTCAAAAATGATGAACACTAACAACAACGACAACAACAATAAGCAGCAAAAAAAATAAAAATAAATAAAATACCGAAACCAAAACAAAAACTTTAGTGCCATTTACCTGAAAATAAGCCAACAGTTTCTTTTCTGCTTCTGGGTTCCAATATTTAATAAATTCCATGGACAATCCAGAATAGTCGGACACGAAAACTACTCCGTTTACCAGTGCCTTTTCATCATAAGCTAACCAATCAAAGAGAAGGCAGCAGGTTTTGTACATCAAATCTTGTCCTTCTTTAGACTTCATCAAACTCATGTCCAAATTGTCTGTAATAGAAATAGAAACTTATTAACTTGTATGTACTGGAACATAATATAATGTGACAATTAAGGTAGCACGCCACGGTAATGTAAGGGCAAGGGATGATTTCTTGGATAAAGTGATTCTGGATTTTAATGACTGGTTATATTTGAAGTGCATTTTCAACATGAGTTTAACAGTCTTTTAGTATTAAACCATGCATCATGCTAATTTTCATGAATATTTTGAATGTATTTAAAAGTAAAATGAGCCGCGTCACGACAAAACCAACATAATGGGTTTGCGACCAGCATGGATCCAGACCAGCCTGCGCATCCGCGCAGTCTGATCAGGATCCATGCTGTTCGCTTACAAAGTCTATAACAAGTAGGGAAACTGATAGCGAACAGCAAGGATCCTGATCAGACTTCGCGGATGCGCAGGCTGGTCTGGATCCATGCTGGTCGCAAACTGATTATGTTGGTTTTGTCGTGACGTGGCTCAAATATTGTTAAATGAACAAAGAAAGCAAATGACAGGAAACGGCACTTACAATCCACTAAAAAGAGGTCAAACTTTGCAAAAATAGCCTCTATTGCGTTAGCCACGCAATAGAAATATTGCGATGAATACTGCAAAATCAGTCATTAATCGCATATAACGTGGAAATTATTATCTGAATCTTGAATATTTGTTACTTTTCTATAAATCTTAGAACTTCTGCTTCTCATGCTTAATTTCCTTTCAATATTTTGGCTTATATGGACGCATGCTGCTTAAAATTGATTTCACATGATTGTATGAAAATTTCTCAATATCAATATTTATAATTAGAGCATAAATAATATAAATATAATATTTCAAACTACATTAATCGGTCGATCAACTGTCAATTGGACGCCATCATATAAGACCGCTTGTCTACTGGGTAGTTTCTTGGCCCATTTCATTATGCTCCTGGTATTTGTAAAGGTAAAATTAAGTAAGATGCTGGAAAAATATTCCAATCCAGTATATATAAGTTTTTGTTCATCTCCTGTTCATCATTTGAAATCACTTAAATGTCTTAAAACATGTATGTGTATCGGTTTATATAATCAGGAAACAGGGGATCATAATTATGCAGCTCATATAACAAATTTAGGAACGTTTCTTATCTAATATTAAAAAAAAAGACGGACAAACAGTATCTAAAGCCGGTAAAGGGTCGGAAATATGTGCAGTAGTATGCGGCTGCGTTCATGAAATCTTGTGTCAGACTTATAGACAGAAGCGAAACTTACCCGTGCTGCCAAATATTACTCTGCGCCCGTGTTGGTCGTATCCCTTTGGACAGTACATCATTCTGCAATTATTTTATTTAAATTTCATATATTCCTATAAAACATTTTCTACATACTTTATTCATTTGGGAGATCATCCGACTGATAATTTTGAGCACGCCTGTTCGATCCTCGGGAGATGGGAATGGGGAGAAATTTCTCAAGTGAGTCTTGATTTAGCAAAAAGTAGGTAACTTATGATTATTATGAATTTATTAATTTAACACTACGGTGATCCGTTTAGACTAGACCATCGCGACATATCGAAACAAACAAAATCATAAAACTTTAATTGTGATAATTCGAAACTACGAAATTCGAAAGTACGTTTCATTTTTTATGCCATAGATGATAGTACTATATGCGGTTTATCTACTATTCACCATCTCTTTACATTTTAAAAGAAACTAATAATGTAGTAATAATAATTTCACGCTATTCAAATTAATTCGATTATAATTATATTTCTCTACTATGAAAAAAAAAGACAGAGTGAAATATTTGATACTTCGGAAACTTACCCCGTTCGCAGAACTTTGTGTATTTTTTCGTCTGCGGGATCGACGTTTTTGAACCATTCAGGGACATTAGTTCTATTTGTCCAGTAGTTTTCAAGCGTCTCCCTAGCTCCAAGTTGACTGTACTTCCTTACCCGAATAAACCGTAAAAGGAATTCGAAATCTGAAAACAACAACAGTGGCACAAACCCTGAGTCAATGCAAGTAAAGGAGATTAGTTGTGTTTGGAAAAAAAAGAGATTGGTAACACAGATATAAAACTTGATAGAGTCATGATTTGTTATAAGTAAGTTGGTATGTCATTGCTATTTGATAAAGTTGAAAACTATTTGTACATCCGAATTTGTTTTAGTTCGGCTGTGTTGGAAGCTTTAAGTTTATTAAAACACTCTCGAATCCGTTCCATTGGCCAACCAGTACTAAACAATGAATGTAAGCTTATGGAAACAACAGTTTACTTCTGACGTGACTTGAATCCAGACGACCAGTAATTTTAAGACTACTACTAGTCCGACGCATTAACCACTCGGCCACGCCCATGCACACCGTCACTTGAAAGATGTTTAACCAATACAAGTTGTCAGAAAATAAAGACTAAATAAGATCAAGTAACTCCACCTAAAAGTAACGAACCACCATATACATGTCCCTATACATGAAAGAAATGAGTTTATAACACCATAAGGCAAATGTGTAAAAAAATGTTTCCTTTTATATCAATATATTCATTGATCCTTGTATAGAGATAACTTAACCACTTACGAAATACCTGGGTATAGTGATCTTCAATTAAAGCCCACAGAAAGTGTAGCTACATCGCTTGCACGAGTGACATGTTTACAGTTACACAGATAAAACTCGTGCAATTCCCTTTTAAAATTACTGTACCCTCATCTAGAAAATATGAAGAAAACACATGATATCTTAAATCTATTCAAATTTAATAAAGCCAAAATTTACCTGTCATAGTTATGAGCCATTTCTGTTCCAACGCCCATTTTCTTAACGCCTGTACAGCGCCCTCTCTGTCTTTGTCGTTCAGTTCATGAAGCTCATCCTTTGCCCTCTTCTTTTCCTCCTCGTTAAGTTTACTTACAAATTTAGCATCTCCTAAAATGCAATAAGCCAACCATTCTCTATCATATATATTTGTGAAATCATAAACATATTCAATGCTGGTCATGATAATATAAAGACATAATGTAATAGGCTGCCCGTATTTCATGAAATGTCATATTCAATGTCGTATGGTTAGGCTAGATATTTCAGAAGATCCTCTTTCAAAAGGAACCTAATCTGGGACAAGATATTTATTATTTCATACCGGGAATTTTAAGAAGTTATTGAGTGACTCCTATCTCTAATGGCATTCAATTGCTAAAACATTCTGTAACGCAAATTTCTTAATGGTTTTATATCATAAATCTGATGCTCAAAAGAATATTGATTAATACTGTAAGTTTTAAAAATCATTATTTCTAATGATATAACCGAATTTAACATTTCATGTAAGTTAAGGGAGGTAATTAGAAATTTATTTTCTGAGCCAGCTTTTACAATAAAAACTGAATGCTTTAACTTTATCATTTAATTATATAGTATAATACTATATAAATCCAATAACACTAACAGTCAGTACAAACCCTAGACAGAGTGCTCGGGGGTATCCCAGAGCATACATATATATGGATTTATATTCAATCAACACATTGAAAAACACATTGTCCTTTACTTATTAGTTTCATGCGCAAAACGCAATCATCAGAAGTGTAAATGGTAGTATATGATATATATATCATACTTTGATGTTTGGAAATTGATATGGAAGAATGTTTGCTAGTACATATATGAAATTTCATTTAAATGTATGTTACATCCATAATTACAACGCACACATTTTTAGTTATATAACATATTAAATGTTCATTCAAAGCTTATCGCAACTTTATTTGCAATGCACACATTATGTACATGCAAAGAAAAAAATCGTTTTTATTTCCCTAAGAGTCATTTTATAACACCTGCATGTATGTAAGCACGATATATAGTATTAAACATAAGCACAAGCATGTGGGGTAAATTTGCACGTGAATGTCGTGCATAACAGTTATCTACAACTAAGAGGAAGATCATCCATAGGTTTAAAAAGTTTGACTCCGTTCATAGGAGAAAATCTTAATTATTATGAACTAATGGGATTTAGCTTATCGGACTATGTTGGAAAAGACTTTGTCTGTGAAATGTGAGAATTATTTTCAGTGATTTTTTTTTTTCAATTTTCAAAACAACCTGTGGCTTTCTGAAGGGGAAAATATAGCGCAATAAATCAGAAAAGGGGAAAATCAAATTCTAACAACTGAGAATTTCAATTCAATTTAACATGCATGGTACATAGCAGAGGCTATCTATAGGGACAGCTTTCTGTCTTCTAGCTGATATAAGTCAGCTGCTGTTAAGTGAAGAATGTGCACAGAGCATTTTAGGGGAAAATATTAGCATTTTTAGGGGAAAATATACCTATTTTGGGCTAGGGGAAACAGCCTTTTTTCGGCTGTAAAATACAAGGAAAAATCACTGATTTTGCCATCATAATATAATAATACGCCGTCTTATTATATTTGCTCTTGTAAGTTAGTATGATGTCAATTTGCTATTTCATAATGCTAGTTTGTAGTTATGTGATGCTAAGTGTCCGTATTTTTGTTTACGAAGCAAGTGTATTAACATGATATAATTCTCGGGCTACTAGTACTTTCAAGTTATTAAGTTGTATATGTTCATAACATCGAGTTTATTATTCATTTAAGAATTCCTGTGCGTAGATCTACTATACTTTGGCTAACAAAAGTTTGCCGAAATATCATGTATTTCTGTGTGTATATATGGTGATGTCGTTTCTATAAATAGTAATGCTATTTTGATATATCGTTCTATCCGATGGTGTTATAGTGGCCTGGTTGTTCGCCATCGCTGAAAATAGCGCTTTGTTTACGTGGCTTAAATTATAGGGAGACCGTTACTTACCGTCGATTGGCCTAAATTCTTCCCTGTCCTAGAATCAACACCCTAACTTTATTTTTAAGAAATTCTAAATAACAAATATTCATTTACACGACGTTTAATTCCGATCACAATAATCCGAAGCTTTACGGAAATAACCGACCAATTTTCATTGATTTAAAAGATATTCATCCGTGTGACTTTATTGACATTTCTATTTAAAGCGAAAGTTACATGCGTTATATATAATGCGTTTGATACTAGTATTAAAATAAAAATGTTTCTTTCTTTTACATCGCTAGTTACAGGGAAACTTACCCTTATTTTATTAAATCTCTATATATAATATAATCAAGGGATACAAGTCGTGGCCTCGCATATCATATTATATATATAGTGGGAAACGAAAAAATAATGACAAAAAAAACACCCTGTTTCAGTTTTAAGCTGTGTTGAGAACTACTTTGTGTTGCATATACCGAAACGATAAAAAATGCTTAATTGATCGTTTACAGGGGCGGTTCAAGTCGGGGTTAGGGTCTGACCCTCAAGTGTCCATACCTGTGGTGTGTTACAAATGTACGAGATAGTGTGAATAGAAAAATCAGAATGACCCTCTACATTTTCATTAAAGCAAAAGAACATACGCATATATTCATTAATAATAATATGATGATAATAATACAGTAGCGAGCAGTATTAATAATAACAAAACCGCTGTTTAAACATAAGTTTAAACCAAATTTGCTTAAATATAAATTTCCGCATAATAATATAAACTTACCTGGTTCCACAGCCATTGCGAGCGAGTTCGAAAATCAACTATATATAAAATCCGATTAAACAAACTGTACAAACTGTAAAACATGTCGTATATTAATACATATGACACTTTTCAACCTGACCGTATCTTTGTTTACTGTAAACTATTTATAAATGGACAGTCGGGTATGTTTGCATCATGTAAATATAAGGTCATAAAGTGGCACATGAGGTATAACTTGATATCGGAAAGGTCCCGTTTTCCGCAAAAAGGACAAGGCATGACCGGAAAGGACCGATTATATGCTTATTAATTGCATTTTATTTAATTATTTGATATAATAACAATTATTTAAAACAAATAGCGTAATAAAACTGATTTTTTTCCCATATTCACACTTGCCATAGCTTTCGTTCATCGCAGCGGCGGCAGATGCGGTGGATAAAAAATGGCCGTTTAATGTTGTAGGCAAGTTTTTGAGTAAATTTTTTACTGGAAACACCTAATGAGACTTGAACCCATATATGTACTCTTCCAACTTATAACACGCACACTATGTAATTCATTGTAATTTATGCAAACAACTTTTGCCTAAGTTTAGTTAAAACACGTACAAATGTGTGCAAAACGACGTCGACCCCTTAATACATCGACATCACATCGTATGAATGATACTTACACAAAACAACCGTATTTTGCAAATTTTGGAAATTGTTTTTGCCTGTTTATAAAATAAATAACAAAAATGATTACAACGCAGGCGGCTAAAATGGATTCAATTGGTTGGACTCAATTCCATTAATGTCAATTTTGAGAGTTTATCGTGACATTTAACGCGCTTTTTAATTAAATAAAACCTTTTTCTTACTTTGACACCAGAGAAACGTGTTTAAATAGTGTTTAAAACAATATAATTATATATACAAATTTATATGTCCGAGTTCCACTTCTATTTTTCTTCTTTGGCCAGTATTATCATAGAATAGTCCATGTTCAACCTGGGACTAAAACAGACCGTAAGTTCCAGGTTCAAACAAACATATAAAAGAGATACTCGTAACAATTAACAGAACATACTTCTCGAATATGAAGAACAATCTCAGTTTGAATGTCATATATTATCGACGTTAAAAACGTGCAGTATTATAAAGTTTTTTTCATAATACTGCACGTTCGTAACGTCAATTTTCATCGGATAATGGTGACGTTTATATAGTTTTATATACACGGCTACTGTCGATTTATAAAGAATTCTCATTTTTATGCCCCCGGGCAAATAGTGATTGAACCGTCCGTCCGTCCGTCTGTCCGTCTGTCCGTACGAGGTTAACCTAGAACGGCAAGTTGGATTTTTCTTAAGTTCTACATGTACCAATGGCTTCTAAGTTTACACACTTACTAATCAATACAAAGTACATGATCTGGGCAAGTTACATAACTCTGGCTTTCATATTGACCAAGTTATTGCCCTTTTCAGCACTTAGAAAATGAATAATGGATAACCTAAAACGGCAAGTTGGAAATATCTTAAGTTCTATTTATACTAATGGCTTTATAATTTCCACACTTACTTATCAATACAAAGTACATGATATTGCCAAGTTATGTAACTGTGTCATCCATATTTCCCAGTTATTTCCCTTTTTTCACTTTGAAAATTAGGCCTTGTCAGGTTAACCTATTTCGGCAAGTTGGATTTATCTTAAATTTCTCCTAATTGCTTAATTTCTTTAATGATATCTTTCATATTTAGTAGGTGGATACATTTGATGGTCCTCTAATTTTTTCTGGAGTAAGCAGTCTCTAGGGTCAAGGTCACTGGTTTAAAAAATAAATATAAACATTGCTCATACAGCCTTTATTTTTTAGTTGATGTCTTAGTTTAATACAAACACGCCAAGGGAGGTCCTCCTTCTTTGGGTGTAGTAAGGGGTCATTTGGGTCAAGGCCAATGTTACCAATGTCAAGGTCACCAATGTTAAAAATAGATTTTTACATTTTTACAGGTGTAATTGACCTTTTTCTATAGACAGATGTTATTTATAACTGATAAAGAAATAAACTAAAAATAGATGTTTACACATTTGCTCATACAGCCTTTATTAAGTGACAGATATATTTTATATTTTGTAGGAAGATATCTTGCATGGTATTCATCCTTTTGATTGGGGTAGGGGTCAGTGGGTCAAGGTCACTTGTGCTAAAAATAGATTTTTACACTTTTGCCCATACAGCTTTTATTTATTGACAGATGTATTTCATATTTGGTAGGAAGATAACTTGCATGGTATTCTTCCTTTGGATGGAGTAAGGGGTCAGTTGGGTCAAGGTCACCAGTGCTAAAAATAGATTTTTACACTTTTGCCCATACAGCCTTTATTCATTGACAGATGTATTTCATATTTGGTAGGAAGATAACTTACATGGTATTCTTCTTTTGGATAGAGTTAGGGGTCAGTTTGGTCAAGGTCACCAGTGCTCAAAATACATTTTTGCACTTTTGCCCATACAGCCTTTATTTAATGACAGATGTATTTCATATTTGGTAGGAAGATAACTTGCATGAAGTTGAATATTTTTCAACTTCACAAGTCAGAGCAATGACTTGGCAACTTATATTTTTCACAATTACAAAATGCCATGACTTTGTCAAGCTATATAACTTGTGTTTACAATTTTTTGTCAATTTTTCTGTCCATAACTGAGTGAATGGGTTAATTTTTTTTTGAAATATTGCTACTGACAAGAATCTGAGCCGGGGGCATTTGTGTTTAACAAACACGTTCTTGTTTTTTCTCTAAAAAAAGAAGTTTTCAGTATTATAAATTCATTATAAATATTCCTGACAGGTTATATGGCCGTATATAAACGGTTGTTTGCAATATAACCCTCGCCTATCGGCTCGGGTTATATTTCCAACCAACCTATATAGGGCCATATAACCTGTCCACAATCTTTATAACTAATAATATACACGACTGCTGTTTATTTATAAGAAAATATATTTATACATGATATTTCCAAACAACCGTTTACATAATGCCACCTTCAAAAATCTTTATAACTCAAAGTCAAGTCAAAATTGTATTTGCAATTAGGCAGATATCTGCCTTTAACAATTACAAACACAAATATACATATGGCAAACACACAATAATAGATATTTTCTTGTGAACCATATATTTTTATGTTATTATTTCACTTACTTACCTTTAGAGCTATTGTTTATTCCGAAAAGGAAAAAAATGGCATAATAGTAGTTGGAAGGTAAAGATTGTTTTAAATAGCTCGAACAATGATGAGTACTTTAGAATATTTTTCAAACAAAATTAGAAATTAATTTCAAATCTCTCGATAAATTAATTTTTGTGGGCCATGGGAAGAGTTCCTCCCCGTGGTGTGGCCTTGATGCAGATGAACTTTAAGCATCTGTAAACGAACGCTCTTTGAAATAAATATTATTGTTTATTATAAATAAAAAAAATATATATTACATTACTCGACGAGTAGAGTTTTCTTCGTATGATGTTTGTTTTTTCGGCACAAACTTCACTTTTTCAAATATTGTTTTACATACATGTGTTCATATCGATAATTTATAGATTTGTACAGCTTTCTCGACAGTGGCGGTTTTATTTCTTGTGTCAATTTAAAACAGAGTACATTTAGTAACTTATATATCTGTATATTCATCAGGTTGTTACTTCAAATTGATACAAACAACAACACTTTGAAATAAGCATATAACAATAGGTAAATATAAAGTTAAATAAAGTAGGACCAATGAATTACATTAATTATTATCATATCTTATTTTCACAATAACGCAATTCTCCATATTTACAATAAAGCATTTAGCAGCAGTCAGGATAAATACATACCAACTTAAGAAATGAAAAAAACTTGACCACAAAACACCAATTTTCCAACATCTCTTCTTTACAACAATAAAGACACAATGATTTTCCAACCAAGAAATCGCATGACATAAAAATAGCTTAGAATCAACCATCCGTGAACCAATTATTTGATTTCTTCTAAAAATACTGACCACACATCCAATAGCCAATAGAGTAACCTTTCTTGAAAAGTATCAGACAAGACCGATGGATTTGTCTCCCTTTGCAAAATTATGAAATTCAACAATATACAAAAGACATTGTTACATATATATATCGGCAAGTTTTAAATTACGCCCACACGAATTAATCGAATAAACTACAGGTTTTATATTGTTGTAGATCTATTTCACCAATTTCTTTTTCATTGCAGTTTTTTTCTTGTTTTTCTTCTTTCTTTTTTTCTTTTATTTACTTTTTTATGAAAATTGACACATATATTATGATTAACATATATTATGATTAACATATCAAAACGCATATTGCTAAATTCATGGATCTATTTCAAAAACAAATGCAGTTATACAAAACGTTATTTATTTTTTTCAAGGAACTCAATAGAGATCCAAAACCTTAAAATACAAAATTTAAATTTCTTACTTAGATTAGCTGGGGAATTAACAAAAAACATGTGCAAAGATATGCAATATATTATATAGAATATAGTTCTCTTCTCAGAATGAAATTGAAAATCTTATTTGTGTTGTGTTTTGTTTTAAGCACGATTTCAGTGAAAAGCGTTGCAACGCATTTCAATTGTGAGTCATTTCAAAATCAGTCATTCTGAAAAAAAAAAAACATAAGGGGCAATGATCTGAAATTTTGCAGACAAGTTATTTGTCTGGAACTACATCAAATGGAATATACATTTCAAACAAGGGCAACATTGTCGTAAAAGACGCCCGTCATTTGAATTTTTTTGTCAGAGATGTGGGCATTATAGATATGCATATAGGAGATATACACTGGGCAATATCCGGACAATATCTCGATATTTTATCATCTCTAGTGACCTTGACCTTGAAAAATCTAACCCCAATTACATATGTCACACTTGTAATCATGATAGTAATCATTTGTGTAACAACAAATCAATAAAGGATGACTAAATGGTACACGTACACGAACTTTGACCTTTCTATTTGACCTTGACTTTGGTAGCAGGGACCCGAATTATGTGCGAAATACTTAGATTCACAATGGTAGTCATGATAATGACCATGTGTGTGTCAATCCCTCAATAAATGATGACTTAATGGTTCGAATACACATTTTCATCTGAA